CTGTTGCTGCTTCATATTTTTTTGGAACCTGTGATATTTTTTTTCAGGATTCTTTGATGAATAAAAAGTTAAAAAGAACAGCATTTATTCAAAATATAAATCTTTTCTAACAATATAAATCTTTGCCATCACTTCTTAACAATTTAACACATCCTTGCTGAATAAAAGTTTTAATTTCTTTCAAAAAAAGAAAGAATAAAAATGTACTGACCCCAAGCTTTTGAACGGTAGTGTACATTGTTAGAAAATATTTTTATTTTAAATAAATGCTCTTTTTAAATTTTTATTCATCAAAGAATCCTGAAAAAAAAGTATCACAGATTCCAAAAAAATATTAAGCAGCACAACAGTTTCCAGCACTGATAATAAATCAGCATATTAGAATGATTTCTGAAGGATCATGTGACACTGAAGACTGGAGTAATGATACTGAAAATTCAGCTTTGCATCACAGGAATAAATTACACTTTAATGTACATTAAAAGCATACACACACACACACACACATACATACATACATATATAAAACTATAAACATTCAAATGCTGAATATTAATATTATAATATATAACATTTTAAATAAAAACACTTTCAAAGAAACCCTTGTTCAGTGGTCTTTACACAAGTATGAAATATAGTCGCTAGTTTCAAACAAACACCAAATGTCTGTTTCGTGGTTGTTTGTGTGCTTCCTCTTGAATTATCGGGATCAGAATGTTCTGTTCTCAAACCCCTCACAGCAAACAGCCATAAAGCATTCATTTAGCCAGTGTAATTTAGAAGCCCAGGCCTCTAACACAAGGCCCAGCACCCCCCGGAGAGTCCGGAGCAAGAGCTCCCTTTGAAAGGCAGTTATTTAATGCTGGGAATGACATTACTCATTCATCAAACAATCGCTGCTCAGATTCGAGCAAAAGGTTAGCGCTAGGTCACCGAGCTGGAGATTCAGGTACAGGTCCACAGGAAATCGTGCGGAGTGGTGGCGTCTAGAGAGCGACCTTGTGACACGCTCCATAACTGCAAAACCAATTTAGCTCAAACTCAAGAATGGAAAAGTCATTGGAAGCCTTTTCCTGCTAAAGAGGCTTCATTATTGATTGATGTGAGCTGTGCTACAGCTTAATGCTGAAGCATTGCACTCCTAATTGATATCATGTTGTCTCCCTTCATATACGTCTCAAGAAATAGCCAATGAGACACGTCAGATGTGGTTAATGAAATAAAAGCACGAGGTTGCAGGGATGCAAACATACAATGCTGAACATATCTATGAAAAGAGCATTCAGAACCAAATTCAACTTAACCAACTAAAATGTTCATAAAGACATTAACATATGGAAACAAAAGCAGGACAGTTTCATACTCGATTCCAAAAAAAAAAAGGACGGAAACATTACTAGCATTGTTGCTTTAGTCAATTTACTAGTTGTTTAACTACTATAAATTAATACAAAGCTGTCATTTTTTGCTTGTAGATTCTGATTTCATAGACGAAGCTAATCTGTTTGCTGAAAGGAAGTGGAAGCAATGTCTAACTAATTTACTTTTTATCACTCCATCTAATTTTATCCCCTCCCCCATTTGTTCTCTAGAAAAAAAATAGGCCAGTGAATCTGACCACTGCCCTAAATATAGGAGGAAACAGCTGCCCACATTAAGAAGCCAGCGTTCTGCGATGAACCAATAAGGCACCTCGAGACGCCAGGCTGGTGAAGAAAATTCCATGCTCTGACCTAAACAATGATTGCCATTCTTACTGTAATGCAGCTGCAGAGAGGAAGTGAGGGGGCATACAGGAAGTGCATGGTCTAACATCCGACGAAAGGTTCTGGATGATGCTGTGTGGCTAGATCTTTTGTTTTGATAACCCGAAAAACGTTTCAGTAATGCCAGATCGCATTTCACACCGAAGTCAAAAGGAAAAACAAGAAATTGCATTTTGCAAAAAGAAAATAAAGCATATTTGAGGACCATTCATGCCTTTTGCACATTATTTATGTCACAATTCTCATTATTGCAAAGTGTCTGGAAGGATTTTATGAATAATGACAATTATAAAAAACAAAACAAATAAATTAAAATAAATACATTTAAATGGTTTCATTTGATTCTTGATTCACAAATTGTACTGTAAAACAACTTTATTTTTTCTTAATTTAAAACAATAAATGCTACCATCACACACTTATTTTACAAAAAACATTTAATTGTTTATTTTACATATAATTTATATTTACTGTATATCTTTAAAAATGAAATGAAACATTTTCAAAGTAAATTGAATTGTGCCACTGTTCTTTTAGCATCAAGAAACTATTATAGTTGTATTTATATTTTGAATGAGTTTTTATTTTTATAAATTTCCATGTTCTTTTTAATTTTAGTCGTTTTTACGAAGTAATTATTTTTATGTTTTAGTAATTTTGTTGTTTGTCATTTTTATTCGTTTTTTAAAACTATATAGTTTATATGGTTTTTATTTACTTTTAATTCAGTTTTAGTTTGAGCTATTTCAATACATAAAATTAAATTAAAATGAAAATGGGAATGTTTCTTTTGCAAATAACTGAAATAAAATAGCTTAATTTTCTTTTATTTCAGCTAACATTTTATGAATGAAAGTAACAGCTATATGGTTCTAGTTAACTATAATAACCCTGCATTGTGCTTTCTCAAGAAAATCCTAAAAACAGACAGATTGTTTGGGGATTAACCAAAATGTTCATCCACAACATCCTTGACAACAGCAAAATTGTTACAAACAGGGATTCTGAGAGTCATTTTTCATTTTCTTTGTCAATAAGCACTTTCCATGCTTGTATAAAATATTCATGTTCCCTCCGACACCCATCTTTCACTCCGCAACTCTAAAAACACTCTGTATATGCAGCCCTGGCTCCAAATGAACTACTTTCAGTGGACTCGCAGAGAAAATTATTATTTTTGTGTATGTAAATAAATACTATATTTATTGTTTTATATATAGTTTGCCTATCCAACAAGCCACTGGGTCGTAATTCAGTTGGATTTAATGCTGCACAAGGAATTTGCCGTCATGCTTGATTTAGTGCATTTGATTAAGACTTCAACATGTTTACTGGATTAGGAGAGCCATGTCTCTTTACCGCTGAGCCATAAAAACAAACGGATCGAGGGCTCAGTGCAAGACTGTGTTCCTCTGGGGGACCGTGAACATTGACGCAAAGAGAGAGGGATAAGGAAAAGAGTTTTTTGGGGATCTTCCTGACTCTCCTAAATAAATCTGTAGTCGGTGGTTACAAATGGACGGAGGCGCTCGGGTGGGAAAGGAGCAGCCCACATCAAACCCAGGATGTCATAAACATGCTTGAGGAGAGTAACAAGCCTCAGGAGTGACAAGACAAACGCTCCAAACAGGACATGTCACACAATAGAGGCCGTGCTCACATATAACCTCCTCCCTGCTGACTATAGGAAACCCAGCAGCTGTTCGCTATGTCGACGATAAATTAAACTGGACCACAAATGCTCTTAGTCATAATTCGAAAATGTTCTTTGTTACCAATTAGAAGCTACAAAACATTAAAATGGGCCAGTTAAATAATTTAACAAAGGAAGTGTGTTCAACATTAGTGGTAAATAGATACATTTATGAGACTATTACAAGAGTATTTAGAATACTTGATTCTGATTGGACAACTGCGAAATTCTCATACATACAGTGGTGTGAAAAAGTGTTGGCCCCCTTCCTGATTTCTTATTTTTTTGCATGTTTGTCACACTTTAATGTTTCAGATCATCAAACAAATTTAAATATTAGTCAAAGATAACACAAGTAAACACAACATGCAGTTTTTAAATGAAGGTTTTTATTATTAAGGGAAAACAAAACCCAAAACTACATGGCCCTGTGTGAAAAAAGTGTTTGCCCCCTAAACCTAATAAATGGTTGGGCCAAGTTCCACAATTAGTTCTGGTACTATGAAAAGGTTCCCGCGGTGCGAAAGGCCCTATTGAGATGCTGTGGCATGACCTTAAAAAGGCGGTTTATGCTCGAAAACCCTCCAATGTGGCTGATTTACAACAATTCTGCATAGATGAGTGGACCAAAATTCCTCCACAGCGCTGTAACAGACTCATTGCAAGTTGTCGCAAACGCTTGATTGCAATTGTTGCTGTTAAGGGTGGCCCAACCGGTTATTAGGTTTAGGGGGCAAACACTTTTTCACACAGGGCCATGTAGTTTTGGATTTTGTTTTCCCTTAATAATAAAAACCTTCATTTAAAAACTGCATGTTGTGTTCACTTGTGTTATCTTTGACTAATATTTAAATTTGTTTGATGATCTGAAACATTAAAGTGTGACAAACATGCAAAAAAATAAGAAATCAGGAAGGGGGCCAACAGTTTTTCACACCACTGTATGTGTGTAAATACTGTATAAAATTTTTAAATGTTTGGTACTTGTTTTTGCATCAATATTGCACAAACAAAACAAAACAAACAAAAAAAATACAATTTAATACTTTAAAAATATTAAGATATTACAACTTCATTGACATAAAAATTCTGACTGATGTTGATAAACTGATTGTCATGTTATGATTTTATTTTGGTTTCATTTTTAACGCCATGTTAGCATCAAGGCTGTCATGTTAGGATTAAAAAATTAAGATTCTATATTATATTGTTTACTCTACATAATAAAACACAAGAAATAAATGCTACCAAAATGCTATACTATAACGTTATTATATTAATTATGATATTTGTGCAAAATTACAAGATTACAATATATATCCAATTCATTGAAACTAATAGTGATAGTCTACTTACTAAACAAATAGTTCTGGCTGTAAGATTTGTTTGGATGAGTCACATTCAAAAACAGCAGATACACAAAAAACATTTTGTTTGTCTAATGAAATATTACTAATTATTTTTAAGATGATTATGACGATTATGACGAGATGAATATGATCTTTATTCATATTGCTGGCCCATTGCCTAAATAATTCACGTTTTGGCTGTACAGTAATTATTATTTCACCATGGTTTTATCGATTACCTTAATGTTTTAGTGCGATTAATAAATCTAGAGCATCTACAGTGTTCTTACATTGTTCTACAAACAACAAGTGCATCAAAACTTAGTTTTAAAACTGAGAATATAGGCCAGAGTTGACTGTGTTGGTGCAGAACTTTACTAGCTGGTTTTCTGCATTCCTATAATTTAATACTCTCTCTTTCTCTGCTCATCTTGTCATCATTTCCTCTCATCCATGCAATCCCTCCCCATCCCGCTGTTATTCAGCAGTCACTCCATTGTCTTTGCTTTTTCTACTGTCTATCATTCTTATAATATCAAAGGTGGGGCCCTGAGTTTTAGGGTCTCATTAATCTTCAGAAGAGGGACAGGGGCCCCTTAATCCACCTCAGCCACCCTCTATCTGATCCCCCAGGCCCCAAGCAAGACGCCCCCCTCGAAAACGGAAAAAAAAAAAATATATATATATATATACATACATACATACATACACACACTGTGGGTGTGGCATGTTATGGAATTTTCCGGGTTTAATGCAAGTGAAAATAATTTTGACTACTCCCTCATTTTCCTAATAAAAAAAGATTACAGTGAGGCACCTACGATGGAAATGAATGGGGGCCAACATTTGGAGGATTTAAAAGCAGGAATGTGAAGCTTATAATTCTATAATTAGTCACTATAAATAATTACTTACAACCCTCTACATTTGTGTGTGTGTGTGTGTGTGTATGTGTATGTATATGTGTGTGTGTATATGTGTGTATGTATACGTTTATTGCACAGATTTCACTACGTTATTCATTGATACTGATTTATTTTTCAAAGAATTATCTCCAATTCATTAACTAAATAAAATAAAAACTTTTTTTTTTTTTTTTACAATTTTCTTGCAGCAACTGTTATTTACTGGTATTTTCTTCAAATTAAATTGTGTGGTATATATCGGTTTTATATTGTCCACCCTGCTCTCTACAATATTATAATTGGCATCAGCCATCAAAACATCTATATTGGTCGACTACTAGAATGAAACCGAAGTAGAACGAGAGATGCTAGTTAGCTAGTCACTGATAACATGCCACCAGAGACCTTTCAGACCAACACCAGACAACCGAATCAACAAAACAAGAAACGTCTGGTTGCTTTTCAAAATTGCTGAGTGGAAACTGGTCGCAATCTATACAAAACCAGCTACTCATCCCGGACGAGTCGAGTCGCACGCTGAAACACTTTCAGGACTTGAATAACACCCAACCGTCACCCATAGAAGTCATTTTCACACACTCCATCAGTCAAAAAAACATCATTAATCATGGCTGAGAGGACCTCCGTGACGGACATTTGGTAAGATCACACTATTTCCCATCCCCCGCCCATTATGAAGTCTCAGCTGACAACCCCACTTACGCACACTAGTAGGTGGCACGGGGGGTTTGATGGTTGACCAACACAAACAGCTCTCCATCTGGTTGAGTTTAAATCCGTGGTATGGGGTTAATAGCCCCATCAAGCTGTGTCGCTTAGAGCTTAGTCTTAGTCGGATGACGCCGTCAGGCCCATCTTTCTGTCACAGTATGCTAATCTGAGACCGGGGACATATGATTCCACTTAACTAAGGGGGCCGTCTCCACGCTAGGTGTAGGTGTCCGATTAAATCGCTCATCACCAAAGAGTGACGCTAAAGTGGATTCAATTATTCCTACAGATAAGACAAGATGTAGGTCCCTTTGGGAGGAAATTAATGTTTGAAATAGGATTAATAGAGCCTGTCCTACCTCGTTTCTGCATGTATGCAAAGAGGTCATCGAGGAACTCCTTCCGTTGTGGGTCGTTGTCCAGTTCATAAAGCTGAAAGAATAATTGTGATTAACAATTAATTAGTTAATCATTGTAACATCCTTTTGGAAACTTCTTTATGTCAATTTCTTTGTATACATAAAGCTACTGTTCTTAAGGTTGAACAAAAGTCCTTGTTTGCTCAATAAAATACAGAATTTAATATATTAATGTTAGTGCTGTCAAATGATTAATCGCGATTGATTGCATCCAAAATAAAAGTTTTTGTTTACATAATATGTGTGTGTACACTTTGCATATTTATTATGTATATATAAATACAAACACATGCATGTATATATTTCAGAGAAATATGTTAGGTTTATATACTAAATATATTTATATATAATATAAAATATAAGAATATAAATATATATACACATGTAAATATTTTCAAAATATATACTGTATGTGTGTGTATTTATATATACATAAATACAGACAGTACACATACATATACAGGTGCATCTCAATAAATTAGAATGTCGTGGAAAAGTTCATTTATTTCAGTAATTCAACTCAAATTGTGAAACTCGTGTATTAAATAAATTCAATGCACACAGAC